AACTGTTCATAATTTATTCTTTATGGTACGCCAGCCTTCATAACATGTAGGCCAATCACTGTCCCCCACACATCTGCGGTTATATTTTTAATGTTTATATCTTTTAAAAACAAAGCGGAGTGTGTATGACATTTTGGTTTTATGATAAAAATCTTTATCATCTGTAAATCTGCCCTATCCAAAACTCTTTAAATGAAAAAGTTTTAGTTTCATCTGGTTTAATTTTGCAAAAAGTCTTCTTTAAGGAACGTTTTGCTTTCATATTATTAATCCATTAATCAATAAAATAATCGAGAGAATAATTCATTAGTTGCAGCCCTAATGTTGACAAAATAAAGTCAAGGGGTCTGAATAGTTTTGCCAAACACTGTAGAAATGTGTTTTCCTTTTCTAATTTTGCATGAATGTCCTTCCATGCCTCTAGGGCCCAGGAAACATTCCTGCAGTGGGACCAGTGTCGACGCCTTTATAACTTTGTGCTGGCAGGCAACATGAAGAAGCTCATCCTGTCACACAGGTAGAGGAAAACTAATACACACCTTCCCCGAAACGACCGCCCTGCTTTGTTTGGTTCATCTAACCCTGAGAAGATGTGTCAATATTAAAGTTTCTGCTGATTTTCATCTCCATGCTGATCTTGGTTCACAGGGGCAGTTTGCTGGGCATGTCCTCCAGCAATATTGATGATGCAGACCTCAACAGGCTGTACACAGCTACCTCTCTGATGCAGATAGATGACAACATAATGAGGTGAAATACTATCAGGTTAATGAGTCGATGGGAATGCAGCTGATGCACATTCAGTCTGATCGTATCACATGGTTTCCCTGCAGGAAATTCCACGGCTACGGCTCCTTGAGGGAGTACTATGAGAAGGAGAGCTGTGTGCACTATATTCACAATGTGAGTTTAAAGTATCCTAAACTGGATTCTGTAATAAAGTTGTTCTATCTGCCATCAGTGCTTGAATAACGTGGTAAACACTAACCATCCAATAGATTTCCCTTTAATGGTCTGGTGCTTCTCGAATTAATGTTATAATGGATGCTGCTGAAGTGGCAATCCAGGATTTAACTGACATTGAAATGTTTCTGCAGGTATCTGTACCGCTCCTCCTGATGAACTCCTTAGATGATCCTTTAGTTCATCGGTCGCTTCTGGCTATACCCTGCAGACTGGCAGGTTAGTGGTCAACTAAAAACAAATCCTCATTTGCTTCCTATACAGCAGTGATTCCCATCCTGGAGGTACTTGTACTCCTAGTGGTCCGTGAGTGCATTGCAAGGGGTACATTCAAAAATATTTTATTATGTAGTAAAAAATAATGCTGTTCACACACGCAGCTGGGGCGACAGAAGCAGCGAGTTTACATGCAAAGTCAATGGTTGACGCGCGTTAAGGTGCAGCAAAAGGTCCCGCGGCGCGTTTTGAGCAGCCGGTGCAGCGCGTCTGAGCAGCTGAAGCAGCGCGTCAGGCGCGTTTAAGCATCTGACAATCGTGACACGCTGCAAACGCGCTGCTGCTCGAGATGGAAAAATTTAACTTTTGCTGCTCGACGTGCCGCGTCAACCAATCAGATAAGCTGATCTGGGAGCTGGCAGGGAGAGAGACACAGCGCTGATGATCAGAGCGCTATGATCACTCCTCTTAAACAGTTTATTTATTTCAGGTGTATTTTCTCACTTAAAAACATATTAAAACTACTTTATTCCCACTGATCACAGCAAATAT